GTTTAGGGTTTAGGGAGTTTAGGGAGAACCCAGTGATGGGTTGGCCACCAGTTTCGAGAGACGGTTTTCGCAGTGATTTCCATCCTCTCTCTGGCTGTTGGGTGCCGAGGCTACCAGCTTTTAAATCCAACCCCTCAGCTCCAAACTACATAAAGCCATCAAGTCCCTTATCAGCCGCAAACATCCGTAGACCTTAAATCCTTAACCTACCCCCGGTGTTTAGGAAGGATGTCGTGAAGAGTGTCGAATGTCCTTGCAGCCGCAAGTTTTATACGCGGGGTTCCTGCCTGGGTTTGTGAATGAAACCTATTATCCGTTGGTGCAGGTCAAGCACGACTCCCTTGTACTCTTCTTGTAATCTTCTTGCTGTTAAATCAAGGTGTGCCAGGTGGATGCTGCCAGACATCCCTACAGCTGTCCGTATTTGTCCCTACACCAAACCCCATTGGCAATGACAATAGTAATATTGCTCAGAATCAGGCCAGAAATAATCATCAGAAGAATAGTATAGTTCCGTTCATTTTCCTGCTACGTTTCCCTTGTGGGAGCAGTCCTTGTCCGGGCTTTCGTTGCCAAGTGGATTGGGCTCAAGCTCTGAGTCATTGGTGTTTTCAATCTCGAACCCCCAAAATGGCAGACGCTGAAGACCAGTCGAGCGCGCTGCCGAGCTTTTCGGAGCTGACTGTGGAGGACTTCGTGTATGTGGCTGTTATCAATGAGGCAAGCTACACGCCAGTATTCCCCATGGTGTACCGGATTTGGCACTACGCCTGCCACTACGTGATGTTCATACATCTCATGGTCGTCCTTGGTTTGCTGGACATCATCACGTACCCTTTCCGGTGCTTGTGTGGCCTGCACAGCGGTAGGGGGCGTTTGCTACTACGCTTCCAAACTCGCTCCAAAGAGGTTCCAGATCCCAGTGCCTGCATGACGGACACCAGGCTTTTCTTGACAGAAGCCCAAAACTCAAAAGTTTAATATCGTATTTTCTGAAAAGGAAATAGCTACCATTTAGGGTTTAGTGTCGTAGTTACATCTTCTTCAGCATTTCAAGGACCCCAGAAGAGTAGCCAAGGACATAGATCTCGGACCATCGATCCATGCCGGTCACCGAATCCTTGAGGTGGTCCTGCCAGGCTCCGGGGTTTCGGGTTTAGTATCGGGCCACGGTTTAGGGTTTAGGGTTTAGGGTTTAGGGTTTCGGGTTTAGGGTTTAGGCTCCGGGGTTTCGGGTTTAGTAGGGCCACGGTTTAGGGTTTAGGGTTTAGGGTTTCGGGTTTCGGGTTTAGGGTTTAGGGTTTAGGGTTTAGGCTCCGGGGTTTCGGGTTTAGTATAGGGCCACGGTTTAGGGT